TTGACCCCCCCCCCCCAACATGGGAAGTGTGCTGTTGGCGGCCAGAGCATTTCATGCCCATGGACGTTTCCCTCTCATTGGTGATTTTACAAGAGAGAGCTCCTACTGAAAAATACCAGAGCTGCAATGTTTAGTTGATCTGAAGCATCTTGATCCAATAAAAGGTGCCTATCCCCATTTAATTAGGCAGGACATTTGCAACGTTTTGAAGTATTTTAAATATGTGCACTTATAAAACCTGCAGATGGCAGGCACCTTTTTAGAAGCAGCATTCCCTCCTATGTGAGAGAAAAAGGAGATGCCTCTTCTGAGATTATACTCATTGGAAACTCTGCATGGATCTTTGAAGGGTTTTTTTTTGGGGGGAGGGGCGTGTAGAACTATAGGATTGGATCCAATGACACACCAGAGACTCTGTAAGGTGGTAGAAGACTCCTCCCATTGGGAAGCTTCCTCTCTTCATGGATGGGAGACATTATATCCAACCAAAGGTTTTGAATTGCTTTTGATTTCTCTCCATATGAAAACTTTAAAAATTACATTATTTATAGTCCACTTTTCTCACAGGGACCAAGACAGATTACGCATAGTGAGTCAGTACAATCAACAAATGGGACATTCACTAACCGGAGCGTTAGTTTTTTTAGATGTCTGGAACCACGAGAAAGAACTGAAGCATAGCATAAGTATTAACACAACACATTAAGAGGTACAGAAATTACATAATAGGATCCTACTTAACAATAAGCTCTATGACACACCAGAGACTCTGTCAGGTGGTAGAAGACTCCTCCCATTGGGAAGCTTCCTCTCTTCATGGATGGGAGACATTATATCCAACCAAAGGTTTTGAATTGCTTTTGATTTCTCTCCATATGAAAACTTTAAAAATTACATTATTTATAGTCCACTTTTCTCACAGGGACCAAGACAGATTACGCATAGTGAGTCAGTACAATCAACAAATGGGACATTCACTAACCGGAGCGTTAGTTTTTTTAGATGTCTGGAACCACGAGAAAGAACTGAAGCATAGCATAAGTATTAACACAACACATTAAGAGGTACAGAAATTACATAATAGGATCCTACTTAACAATAAGCTCTATGCAGCATTACAGACCACAGTCCCAATCATTTATCCAAGTCTGTGAACCCTTTTGTACAGGACAACCCAATTACCTGCACAGAAAAGCTGTCTTGAATAGTTCAGCTTTGCGTAGTTTGCAAAAGGCCAGGAGAGTGAGAGCTTTCCTGACTTCCTCTGGCAAACCCTTCCACAAGGCAGGAGCCACAACAGAGAAAGGACATTAAGTACGGGCAGTTGTTGATTTTGCGCATTTGCAGGTTAGCACCTGCAGAAGCCCATCCTAACACGAGCGAAGTTGTGGAGGCAGAGCATAGGAGTATATTGGATTTCTCTGTTTAGTAAATTATCACTTAGGAGTTAATGGTGTTTTTCTTTTTATTATTCTTGTTATATCCCCCTATCAGGTAACCTCATTTCTTGTATTTTGTATTGATCTGCTGTTTTTAAAGTATGGGAAATGAAGTGAAGCCCGGGGGGGGGGGGGGAGCGTGGTGTTCGGCACTTTTCAATTTTCTATACCATTCCTGAAGTGCTACAGGGTGCTGTGTAAAATGCCCCCGTAGTACTTCCTCCGATTGGAATGCCTGGACCACTGAGATACATGAGATTACTACATCTGGGGAGAACAGGGATTTCAATGGAGTACAATGCCATGGAGTCCTCCTTCCACAGCATTTGCTATATGCCTGGGAACTGATATCTGAATGCAGGAGATAAGCTGTAACTCTGCAATGCTCCCTCTAAGCTGTGGAGTCCTGTGAGCAAAAATTCCACTTTGTGAGCTACTGGCATTAGAATTGTGAGCAAGTTATTTGGCTACTGCATAAATTAGTTTGCTCTGGAGCCATTCTTCCTGATCTAAGACTAAAACGTGTGAGCTGGAGGCTAAAAAACTGTGAACCAGCTCACACTAACTCAGTTTAGAGGGAACACTGGCTGAAAGTACAGGGGATCCCCAGGTCTCCCCTGGAGGTATGGTATCCCAAAATGCTGGCCATCAAAAGGATGATTCTGTTTGCAAGCCGGGAAAGAGCTAATGTTTAAAAAAAATGCTTCAAACTGTGCATTCCCGAGCTTCCACTTCCTATTTTTAAATCCCCCAATCTCATGTATCTCAGTGGCATCCAGGTATTCCAGTGGGGTCGCTATTGTGCTGTTTCGGTGTTGTGTTATAGCGCTATAGCACTCTTAAAAGATTTTTTTTAAAAAAAGATGAAGATTGCCTGTGCGGGCAAAAAAGGGCAAGAAAACAAAGCGGCACAGTCTGAAATGCCAAACCGCTTCAGAGACGGCTCCTTACTGGTAGGGGAAAGGCTGTGCGAAATGGCCACCCCTGTATCAGTTTACTCCAAGACGGTACAATAACAGCTTAAAAAGGATAATCTGAAATTCCCATTTGTGTCCCTACACAAGTCTGGTCAACAGATGTGGCCTGGTAGTTCCATGCTTGGAATTCAATTCTGATGCTTTGAAAGGCCCAATTTGGACAGGGACCACAGCATGTGAGGACAGAGTGGTTAATCCCTCCCTCTGCACCATTTTCTCTAACTAGGAAATGACCCCTATTATTTGCCCTAAAAAGGTAAGTCAAGTAGAATAAATAACAGCTCCCCAGGGCCATTTCGGGTCAGGAAAATGGTGCAGTGGGGAAGCCTTAAGCCCCTCTGTCCACATGCCCCAGTACCAATGTGAATTTGGCCCATACACCTGAGAATTAATTTCTGAGCACGGAATGCCCAATGTATATCTGATTAACAGGCAGGCCCATAGGATGACACAAGGACTTTGTAAGGTGAGTTGGCTTTTGTTGCATTGTATACATTTAAAAACCCATCTTGACTGTCTTACTGTGGTGGGCAGGAGCAATGCAACTATTCCAAGTAGCAAGCGCTAAAGCAAGCTGGCAAGTAGCCAAGCTCTGCCTAAGGGTAGACAACATGGTTAGCAGCAAACGTTTTTAATGGGCTAGAAACATTTGTGGGCTTACAGAGGGGCAGTATAGAGAAGTTAGTAATGAGTTAGGCTTTGACTGGGAAGGTACATGGATCTGGGGCCTGAGACTAAGTTGGGGGGAAAGGAAGAATGCCATGTAAACTTTCCAGAACTTCTTGGAGGAACGGAGGGACAAATAGACTTAATAGCAATAATTAATTTGCAAGGATGGGTTAAAACTGCAAAGCTAGAGTGAAGCACACTAAGTAATGGCTGGTGTGGGGAACAACCAGCCATATCTTGCAGCACCTAAAGGTACCATTTGCTTAAGCTATACAATCAAGGGTAATTATAACATTATCTTATCCTGTGCAATGTGGCTCCTTCTTTCTCCATCCAGCTGTTATCAGCTAATCCTTGGAAGGGTAAAGAGGTGGCTAGCCCTTAGCCACAAATCTACCCATTATCAACCATCGCGCTCCAACTCACCAATAACTACCAGTACAGCAACCAGGATGCCAACAGCCATTGCTACAGTTGGACGTGCGTCCCTTATGACTTCTCTGAAGCACGACCCATCATCTCCACATACACACACATTTACTGGGGACAAAAAGCAAATTTCCTGGAGTCAGAGAAAACACAATTGTCACATGCTGTGGTTTAAAAAATAATTGAGTGTGACTGCATTTTCACCATACCTTTCAGAATGACATGTCCAGCCAAAGGTGGCTTTCCATTGTCATTAATTTCTATTGGTATCTCATAGATATTTGGTTCAAGATTTCTGTTCTTCGGGGCGATGTATGCATGTTTTCCTGTTAACACAAACAGTGGGTGAATAAAAAGGAAAATGGAGAGCTATCAAATCTGTATTCATGGGACACAAGCCAAACAAGTGATTACAAGTCAAAGTCCAGTCCTTGAAAATGCTTAATTTTGTCTGGATCGAGGCTATTAAGTAGATCTCAGAGCAGCTGCAGATCATGACAATCTCTACTTTGAAATCATCCTTCATGTTTTATACCTCCTAAGCAGTCCAGCTCCTGTCTGTTGCAAAGAACATCTCCTTCCATACAAACCTCTTGTGATTAAGGTTGGCTGGAGAGATCCTTGGCAAGGTTTCGGGTTGCTGGGAGGTTAGATTGGCCTCCAGAAAGAGAAGAACACCCTCACTGGTTGCCCAACAGCTGTGGAGTGCTGTCACCTGGGAAGTTTGTTTGCCTCTGGCTGTTCAGGCATTCCAAAGAGGGGATGAAAAAAACTTTTGTTGACTTTAATATTTTCTGTTCTCCTGTCCACCCTAATTTTCTGTTGGTCTAAATTATTTCTAAATTGTCTAAATTATTTTCATTTTATGGTGGCATAATATTTTAATTTTTATTGTCTTTTATCGTACCCTGCTTTGTTGGAAAAGCTGCTTTAAATTCCATAATACAAACAAATCTCCAGGGTGCATTTCCAAAAGCATTTCACTTGGGCTACTTACTTTTATTTATTCATGCCCATTCACTGCACTTTCATTTTGACATCCATCCCAATTAGAAAGATCTAGGGTTGTTGTTTTTCTAATTTGCATGGGTGAAGTAATTATTCTTATCCCAGTGATGGTATGACTCTAGTAGTTTAATATATTAATGTTGTTTGTTTTTTTAGAAAAACAAAACTATCATGATTTATTTATAGTCCACCTTTCTCACAAGGACCAAGGCAGATTATGCATACAATCAACAAATGGGACATTCAATAACCGGAGCGTTAGGATTTCAGATGTCCGGAACCACCAGCAAGAACTGAAGCATAGCATAAGTATTAACACAACACACTAAGTGGTTCAGAAATTACATAATAGGATCCTACTTAACAATAAACTCTATGCAGCATTACAGACCACAGTCCCAATCATTTATCCAAGTTTGTGAACCCTTTTGTGTAGTGCAACCCAATTACCTGCACAGAAAAGCTGTCCCGAATAGTTCAGCTTTGCATAGTTTGCAGAAGGCCAGGAGAATGAGAGCTTTCCTGACCTCCTTGGGCAGACCGTTTCACAAGGCAGGAGCCACAACAGAGAAAGGATATCATGTATGGGCAGTGATTTTGCCCATTTGCAGGTTGGCACCTGCAGAAGCCCCTGCTGACATGAGCGAAGCTGTGGTGGCAAAGCACAGGAGCATATTGAATTCCTCTGTTTGGTAAATTATCACTTAGGAGTTAATGGTTTCTTTCTTTTTATTATTCTTGTTATATCCCCCTATCAGGTAGCCTCATTTCTTTATTGATCTGCTGTTTTAAAAGTACAGGAAAGGGGGGGGGGGGGGGGGACAGTTTTCTTTTTCTCTCATGTATAAAGTTAATCTAGAAATTAACCACTAAAGCTCATATCCAGTTAATCAACGATGACTTCTTTAAGTGTGTGACAGTTTTTAAAATGTCATCTTATTAAAAAAAAAATAGAAAAACAATTATGAATTGAGTCAGACCCAAAGTATGGTGCACTTGTTTCCTTTCTAGCATAATCCCCATATGGCAAACATCTGTTTAATCAGATAGGTGGATGGCGAATGAATTCATTAGCCACCTTTTCAGTTCCATGCATTAATAGTTTAAATTATTGCTTATGTTTAAGAGGCTTTTCTTGTTCAGTTAGTGCCCAGCCACAGCTCTCATTTTCTAAGAGGATGATCAAGGAACCTATTCAGCTGTGCTCTTTTGAGGAGCACTCCTGCTATTCTCTCCTTTCCACCACTTGAACAGAACTAAATGCTGGTAAACTGACTAAGGAGATGGTACAGCCACCTAACCATTTAACAAAGTAAGACTGGTCACAGCAAGGGAGTCAGGGCCCACTATATTCGGATACTTCAGTCAATTTAAGCAGCCAATAGGGCTCACATCGCAGATAGGCGGGGGAAGGTAACACATTTACCTGTGCTTGGAAGTAGAGGGGAGTGAAATGGACTGCTGAAATGGCTTGCAGCCATTTGAACCTAACAGTACGGGCACACCCGCCCTGTTGTTAGACTGAAATGGCTGCCATTTCAGCGGTGAGTTTTGCTTTCCCCCACATCAAAGTGGAGGCAGCGAAACTGACAAGTTTAATGGCTTGCAGCCATTTCAGTCTAACAGCAGACAAGCGCACCCACTGCTTGGAAGCAGGGAGGAAGTAAAACCCACCGGTGAAATGGCTGCCAGCCATTTAAACCTAACAGTAGGGCAGGTCATTTAACCCTTCCCAGGTGACCTGAACTGGCTGGTTCAGTTTGCAGCATTTTTTGCTTGGTTTGGTTCAGGGTTTGGTTCAGGAGCCGCCCCGAACCAAACCAGAATTTTTAGGATCATACCAGTCCCTAATCTGAAGCATCCCAATCCACTGACTTGCTGAAGACCATCCAGTGAACTCCATGACTGTGTAAGGATTTGGTTCTCCTAGTTCAAGACCACCAGTGTGCTACACCAAATTAGCTCCAATGGAGTGCCCTATCTTGGGAGCTGGCATGGTGGAGGTGCTAAGAAAATGAACTGTGTTCCAGGAGGCTGCTGGCTCAAATATCGTCTCAGACACAAATCCTGTAGATTGCCTTAGACAAGAGTGTAATCTCTTTGGGACAGGGATTTGTATTCAGTAAAGTGCCATTCACCCTGAGAGCCAATTCACACTTAACAGAGTCTTTGTGTCCCTACACATGTCTGGTCAACAGATGTGGCCCAGGAGTACCATGCTTGGAATTTAATTCTGATGCTTTGAAAGGCCCAATTTGGACAGGGACCACAGCATGTGAGGACAGAGTGGTTAATCCTTCCCTCTGCACCATTTTTCCTGACCTGAAATGACCCCGGGAAGCTATTATTTGCCCATCAGGGAAACTTATGTGTAGCCATTTCTACATGTAAGTTTCCTGAACAGGGCAAATAACAACTCCCCGGGGCCATTTCAGGTCAGGAAAATGGTGCAGTGGGGAAGCCTTAAGCCCCCAGGTGTGTGGCCCACATTCGAAAACCCATCTTGACTGTCTTACCATGGTGGGCAGGAGCAATGCAACTATTCCAAGTAGCAAGAGCTAAATCAAGCTGGCAAAAAGTTTTTAATGGGCTAGAAATGCTTGTGGGCTTACAGAGGGCCAGTATGGAGAAGTTAGTAATGAGTTAGGCTTTGACTGGGAAGGTCTGTGGATTTGGGGCCTAAGACTAAGCTGGGGGGAAAGGAAGAATGCCATGTAAACTTTCCAGAACTCCTTCGCGGAACGGAGGGATAAATAGATTAATAACAATAATCAATTTGCAAGGCTGGGTTAAGACTGCAAAACTAACCCGCGGGAAAGGATGATATGACATGGACAGGTAGCATTTCCGACTCTCTTCCCAAGCGCTTCTCTCCACTAAAACCCAGGCCACCGGGTGCCTTGAAGAGCCGACTGTTATCGCTGAGTCCGGGTTCCAGAAGCTGCCCCGTCTGAACAGCTTCCTCCATAAACCAGGGAAGTACAGGAGAAACTGCCCGGCCTGTATCCGAGAACAGCATGAGGGCCTAGATAGTCCCGATGCTGAGAGAAGGCTTTCGTGTGTGGCAGTTTCACATGACCATATTCTCTCTCTCTCCTCCCCCCCCCCCCCCCCGCCTCCTTCTCTTTTTGTCTGGGGAGCTGCAAAGAGGGGAGTGTCTTGCCGGGGATACAGCAAGAAGCTGGCAAGGGAAACAGATAAACTTTCTGTGAGGGGCGAGGAGGGGACAAGACTGGCCAGAATGGTGCCTTCGTTGAGCCATCGCCCTAGGTGACAGTCTAACATTTAACAATAACGGGCCGGCCCTGTGTGGGGAACAACCGCCATGTCTTGCAGCACCTAAAGGTACCACTTGCTTAAGCTATACAATCAAGGGTCATTATAGCATTATCGTATCTTGTGCAATGTGGCTCCTTCCTTCTCCATCCAGCTGTTATTAGATAATCTTCAGAAGGGCAAAGAGGTGGATAGCCCTTAAACCACAAGTCTGCCCATTATCAACCATCCTGCTGCAACTCACCAATAACTACCAGTACAGCAACCAGGGTGCCGACAGCCATTGCTACAGTCGGAAGACGGTTTGTCCCATTGATAACTCGGATGCATGACTCATCATTTCCACATAGACACACATTTACTGGGGACAAAAAGCAAATTTCCTGGAGTCAGAGAAAACACAATTGTCACATGCTGTGGTTTAAAAAATAATTGAGTGTGACTGCATTTTCACCATACCTTTCAGAATGACATGTCCAGCCAAAGGTGGCTTTCCATTGTCATTAATTTCTATTGGTATCTCATAGATATTTGGTTCAAGATTTCTGTTCTTCGGGGCGATGTATGCATGTTTTCCTGTTAACACAAACAGTGGGCAAATAAAAAGGAAAATGGAGAGCTATCTAATCTGTATTCATGGGACACAAGCCAAACAAGTGATTACAAGTCAAAGTCCAGTCCTTGAAAATGCTTAATTTTGTGTGGATCGAGGCTATTAAGTAGATCTCAGAGCAGCTGCAGATCATGACAATCTCTACTTTGAAATCATCCTTCATGTTTTATACCTCCTAAGCAGTCCAGCTCCTGTCTGTTGCAAATGGGGCTTGTTGCATGTGCCCGCCCCCTGGGCTCTTTACTGCCAGAGCTCCGCTCCTGTGCTCTCCTGCAGGAAATGACCCCTGGTTGTATCCCCAGCCTGTTATTTTCCAGGTTTGGAACCGGCCTTGGAGATAAGTACCTGCTGCAATGGAGCATAGGGATGTGAAGGTGGGGCACCCTCACTGGTTGCCCAACAGCTGTGGAATGCTGTCACCTGGGAAGTTTGTTTGCCTCCGGCTGTTCAGGCATTCCAAAGAGGGGGTGAAAAAACTTTTTGTTGACTTTTTAATATTTTCTGTTCTCCTGTCCACCCTAATTTTCTGTTGGTCTAAATTATTTCTAAATTGTCTAAATTATTTTCATTTTATGGTGGCATAATATTTTAATTTTTATTGTCTTTTATCGTACCCTGCTTTGTTGGAAAAGCTGCTTTAAATTCCATAATACAAACAAACAAATCTCCAGGGTGCATTTCCAAAAGCATTTCACTTGGGCTACTTACTTTTATTTATTCATGCCCATTCACTGCACTTTCATTTAGACATCCAGCCCAATTAGAAAGTTCTAGGGTTGTTGTTTTTCTAATTTGCATGGGTGAAGTAATTATTCTTATCCCAGTGATGGTATGACTCTAGTAGTTTAATATATTAATGTTGTTTGTTTTTTTAGAAAAACAAAACTATCATGATTTTGAGAATACTCCCAAACTCTAAAGAATGCACACAAAACCCAACAATTTTGCTATACTGTAATCCTACCTTGTTGATGTCAAAATGAAAAGTGTAAAGTGGCTAGAAAGTTAGGGTATGATCAAGTTCAATTTGTTTAAATGGGATAAGTTTAAGCCTGTATTCTAATGCCCAATTTGAAATTATTTGGGAGGAGGGAAAGTGCTTATATATGGCCTGTTGTGCTCCTGAGAGATCAGCTAACAGTGACAGCAACTGCCATGTTTGATTATTTACATGTTGGCACTGTTCATGTACAAAGCGGAGGAGGAAGAGAGGTCTTGTCTTCCCCACTGTGCATGGGTGAAGGGTACTGAACCCTCTCCACTCCTAGCTCCCTTTCCTTTATCACCCCATCACTCCAGACAGTTGTATCCCCAGCCTGTTACTTTCCAGGTTTGGAACTGGCCTTGGAGATAAGTACCTGCTGCAATAGAGGTGGGAGGTCAACCCTTATTTTTGTTATAAAACACTCCCCCCTTTATACATGAGTGGGGCTGGGGCAAACATGCAAGCAGTATTTTGTCCTGAGACTCAGGAACAGATGGTGGTATTTATTTATTTTCTTTACATCATATATACCCCATCTTTCTCCCCAACGTGGACCCAAAGAAGCTTACATAATTCTAGACCAAATATTCAACAAACATTAAACACATGAAAATGTTATATTTTCTTCCAGATCTTCCCAGGTCTGTGCAGTCCTTGTTCACTTGCAAGTTCCTCACTGAAAACTCATTTCTCATGTATGTGGGGCCCAGTTTGGATCTGGGTTGCAGTGAAGGGAAGGGGCTTCGACCTTCCCCCTCCATGCTACTTTCCTGACCCAAAATGGCACTGGGGTGCTGTTTACCTTGTCAGGGGATCCATTTGGACTGATGGGTATCCATGGGGCCATTTCAAGTCACAAAGTAGGATTGCCCACTCTGGCATTGTAAACTCCTGGAGATCTGGGGACAGTGCCCGGGGAGATTAGAGTCTGGGGAAGGGAGTTCAGAGGAGATGTGGTGCCATAGACTCTACCCTCCAAACCTGCCATTTCCTCCAGGGGAACAGATCTCTGTAGACTGGAGGTCACTTATAATTCCAGGAGGACCCTAACCCTAGCCTCCCCCCACCCGGACGTTAGTAACCCTAGGGATGGGGACGTAAGCACCCTCTTCCCTTATGCCGTGGTCCCTGTCAAAGTTGGGCCTGCATGCACCTGGGAACTGAGTTCCCAGCCAAGAACTCCAGGCCCATGTCTGACTTTGTGGATCTGGAGACAACCTGGGGAGGACATAAGGTGTCGTTAGGCCCTGAATCTTTAATTTAGGGTAACCATCGGAGGATTTGGTGCCGCATGTAGATGGCTTTTGGCATTAGCTTACCTTCCACTTTCGAAAGATTCCAGTCACGTTGCATTGTGTTTCCACCCAGGAGAGCATAAGTGAACCTTTGATAGTGTGAATGTTCATCAGGGTCAACAACTTGAATCATCTTTCCATTCTCATTTCCTTGGAGTGGGTGGCAGAAGAACAAAGAAAAGTCTTCTGGTAGTGTCGGTGGGTTATCATTCACGTCTCTGAGGTGTATGATTACTTGTGCTGTGGAGCTCCGAGACTCTTTAGCTAGGGATTTGAATAAAGCATAGAATTATATTCCATTTATGTGAGGATCGTAATGGTAATAAGCATAATAGGAGGGCAGTGAAGTTGCTTCCGCACTAGCTAGTCAGTCTGGAATGGACATCACTTGCTTACTCAGTTTTTACAGGGAATTCAGGCAATGACATTGCCACCTGCTGCTGTCCACTATTTTCTGTGCTTCAAGCCCATCTTTTTCATGTGATTTGTAGTAATATCTTCTCCCTCTTGGGAATCACCACCACCAAAATATATATGTAGGTTAAAGTACTTTTTGGCTTACTTTCCTCAGTTGCAACTATTTGTACCATGTAGGTACGTTCCATTTCCCGATCCATTGAAGCAGCTATATATACAGTGCCATTCGCAGGGTCAATCCTCAGCCATTTCCTGTGGTCATTTTTCAGCGTGAACCTTTGCAAGAAGAGCAGAAGAAGACTAGCTCATTTGTGTGTTTTCAGTGATACCACGGGCCTGTCGGTATTTGTGTACTGACAACACCATTTCTGTTGGATAACAGGCAGGGTAAGGATCCTTGCATGTTTGGTTCTTGTGCTGCTGTCAGAGTTGCTTTACGCTTTACCTAGCAAATGTATTTCAATGGTTTCTGTCTTCAGTACCACTGAAAGGAAGATGAATGTCAACATTGTGCCCCACACATGTTTGTGGACGCATATCTCCCCTTCAAACGTTCGTGTTTCTTGCAAAGCATTCACTGGAAGCCCAAGAAATTAATCTGCCAAGCAGCCAAGTTCACAGTGTTGCCATGAACTACAGAAGGCATAAAACTAGCATCCAAAACAAACCAGAGCCAAATAACCAAAGGACCTAGTATTGACTAATAATCCAAATACAGCTACTATTATCAGTAACACCAATAAACTGATGAAGAGAGCTGCATTTCTCGAAAGCTTATGCGACAATAAAGTTTGTTAGTCTTAAAGGTGCTGCTGGGCTTTTTACTATTTTGCAGCACCAGACTAACACAGCTAACTCCTCTGGATCTATCACCAATAAACTATTGATAGTGGGTATGCTGATAGTGAGTATGATGATAATATATGCTGAGAGACCCCAGATAGATACCTATTTCAGAAATCCTCATTAGACTGTAGTCAAAGGATTTAAAGTAAAAACAACTGGAATGTAACCCCTTTCATCAACCTCTTGCAGTGTAATTTGCAGATGAAAACTTTAGGCATCTACATTCAATAAATAGCTTCCCCAAACATTCCCGCAACAGAGTCTTTGAAGCTCAGAAATATACAGAATTCATGGTTACAGACACTGGAAGAAATTGCAGGAGAGGCAAGTTTCTTCTTTGTTTTTCAGATGCTGTGAGATCATCCTTTGGTAATCTGATGGCCTGAATTCCGGGATCGACATGTTTCCTCAATGGGAGCTATGGAAAGGAAAAACTCTTCCGACAGCTGGGAATATCTGTCCAGCATTGGGAATATCTGTCCAGCATTTGGAATATCATACCCATCAGAGTTTTAGAGATAACACTTTCTAACTAGCGATAGTGAGGGAAACAGTCAGTCAGATGACTGAGGGGGTGACATGATTGAGGTTTATAAGATTATGCATGGGATAGAGCAGGTAGAGAAAGAGGTACTTTTCTCCCTTTCTCACAATACAAGAACTCGTGGGCACTCCATGAAATTGCTGAGCAGTCGGGTTAGAACGGATAAAAGGAAGTACTTCTTCACCCAAAGAGTGATTAACACTTGGAATTCACTGCCACAGGAAGTGGTGGCAGCTACAAGCATGGACGGCTTCAAAAGGGAATTAGATAAGCATATGGAGCAGAGGTCCATCAGTGGCTATTAGCCACAAGGTATAGATAGGAACTCTGGGGCAAGTGATGCTCTGTCATCTTGGTGCTTGGGGGGGGTCAACAGTGGGAGGGCTTCTAATGTCCTGGCCCCAGTGATGGACCTCCTGATGGCACCTGGTATTTCTGGCCACTGTGTGACACAGAGTGTTGGACTGGATGGGCCTTTGGCCTGATCCAACATTGGTGTCTCTTATGTTCTTAATCCCTTACAGTTTGGATTTGGAGAAAATGGGGTGGAAGGAAGGGAGGCCTATGAGCTGGCTGAAGCAGAAGCATCCTGGGGGGGAACTGCTCTGGGACCTGATGCCGGACTAGCAGATGTGCTATCTGCTGAAATAATATTTGCTTCCACTGTCCTGTGCTTGTAAATGAAACATATATTTTAAAGACACCACAAACTTCCAGTGCTCTCTATAGCAAAAGAAACCATAGTATGATCTCTGAATGCTTGGTGATGCAGGCAGCCTGTATATTACCTTTTGTTTTTGTGGTAAGAGCTAATTTAGGTGCTCAGTGTGCAGCCTTCTCAGTTCAAATTCCAAGTCCTGAACCTCAGTCTACTAGTCAGTTGCTCCCCACATGTATTTTCTCTAGCAGTCATTTGCATTCAAACACCACAGTTTTTCATAAGCCAGGAAATCCTTGATATCATGTGCTCCTTCCCTCCCCCCTTCCCTTCACTCATGGCTAGGAAACTTGAGGATTCCTGATTTGGAATAACTGCAGTTCACTGCATGGGACAAAACAATAAATTTATGGCTGGGTCTCTTGCCTTAGAAATCCTGGTTTTATTGGGAAGAGCTCAAATTACAATTTCTCTGTTTGCACCATGTGGATATCAAAATGAATACTGTATTATTTCAGACCAAAAAAATCTTCATTCTCCTTGTCTGAGGGTAGGAGGAAGTGTGTGAGCTCAAGGAACCACTCTCATCATAAGAACACTGAGACATAAATGTAATCATATGCTCCACTGAACCTTGCTGGGATGTTCCTCATGTAAAAGGTTGGATTACTGCAATGCTCTCTACATGGGGCTGCCCTTGGGGCAACTTCGGAAGCTGCAGCTGGTGCAGACGCTGCGGCCAGGTTGTTGATGGGTCTCCCGGTGAGGGAGCACA